GGAAACGAAGACACACGGACGCAAAAAGGTTCTGGCTTAGGACTTTTCATTGTTTTCGAACTCGTTCGATTACACCAGGGAACGGTAACATATCTTGACAATACGCCTCAAGGGGCCAACTTTCAAATAGAATTCAACAATGACTAACAACATTGGACTCATTATTCTCGATGGATGGGGCATCGGGGATCGCTCTCATTCGGATGCAATTTTCAACGCCAACACTCCAGTAATGGATGGATTGATGGAAAAGTATCCAAGTGCAACACTGCTAACGAGTGGTGAAAATGTAGGGCTTCCTGATGGACAAATGGGGAATTCGGAAGTTGGACACTTAAACATTGGTGCTGGACGAATCGTTTACCAGGAATTGACGCGCATCAACAAGTCCATTCGTGAAGGTGAATTTTTCAAAAACCCTGTATTAACGGAGGCGTTCGAAGCGGCGAAATCAGGAAACAAACAGCTGCACTTTATCGGTCTGGTATCAGACGGAGGTGTACACAGTTCTCAGGAACATCTTCATGCTTTGTGCAAGATGACATCCGATTTCGGTATCGAAAAAGCATTCGTTCATGCATTCATGGACGGACGTGATTGTGACCCAAAAAGTGGACTCGGATTCATCCAAACTCTGGAAAAGGAAATCGAGGACTCTCCGGTAAAGATTGCATCTGTAATCGGTCGTTATTTTGCCATGGATCGCGACAACCGTTGGGAACGCGTGAAAAAAGCATATGATTTGATGGTGAAGGGAGAAGGACAATCTTTCAACTCTGCCTCGGAAGCTGTGGAAACGTCGTATTCCAACGATATCACTGATGAATTTATCGAACCAGCAGTGATGTATGAAAATGATGCTCCGGTGGCTGTAATTGGTGATGATGACATCGTTATCTGTTTCAATTTCCGAACAGATCGCCCAAGAGAGATCTCCATTGCTTTAACGCAACGTGATTTCCCAGAGCATGATATGAAGCCATTGAACATCGGATATTACACGATGACCAACTACGACAAAACCTTTCAGAACATTCGCGTAATTTTCGAAAAGGACAATTTATCGAAGACACTGGGAGAAGTATTGTCAGATGCAGGAAAAACGCAGGTTCGCATCGCTGAGACTGAAAAATATCCGCACG